GTAAGTGGCGTGTTCAGTGACTGCACGTCCACAAGCATGACCTTACGCTTTTTGGGTGCAAAGTGCATACCAAAGGACGGGATGACTTTAATCAGTTCATCCAAGAATACTCGCGCCTTTTCCTTCTCTTCGAACATGAAAACGGATACCGTCTGCACATTCCAGATCGACGAGGTTTTCTTCACAGGCTATTTGAACTCCAGGATTTTGGAGACCCCGCAGCGCTCGTCTCATTGTTTCATCGATCACAAAGTTAAAAAGGAATGGGGAGAGTGGGCATCCCTGACGGATACCGCTTTGTGTGCGGAAGCTTTTGGAGAGCTCTCCGTATACTCGCACACGTCCGGAAGCCCGAGAATACAAAGAACCTAGTATGTTTACAAACTTCCGGAGTATTCCTTGGTGGGCAAGCGTGTCAAGAAGAACAGACCGATCAACCGAGTCGATGGCGCCTCTGTAATCCAGGAATACTGGAATTGTGGGTCGCTTATACGTATGGCGTTGTTCTAGCACCTGACGCATTGTGAAGATTTCGTCAACACAACCCCTACCAGGCCGGAATCCCGCTTGCTGTTCTCGAGTCAGTATCTCACGAGCCACCGTAAGGCGACGAAGCACAACTGACGCCAACAGTCTCGTTACAACCGGGGTCAAGCTGATCCCCCTGTGGTTACCACACTCACTGCGCACCTCTTTTTTGAAAACGGGGACTGTCACCGATTCTCTCCAGTTGTCTCGGACAGACTCCTTTTCCTAAATGCAAATAATCTCCGGGAATTACCGGCTTTCTGGGCCTCTTCCATTTCTCAGGCTTTCTGTGTCCACCATACTTCACAGTCGGATCGCAAACTCACTTTCACTTGGTGTGTAATAACTCTTCGCACCGGGTTATGTTCGGGACCGACTAGGATAGTTTTTCGAGATTTAAGTAATGCCACCGTTCGGTCTGATATCCAGTGCTTGAGTGCGCCTGGTTGGGTCGTGCCACAGGCGAAATTCTCAGCACTATACAAAGAGGTGGCAATCTCGTCCCAGTATGAGTTCACATCTGATGGTGGAGCGTATGGAAGAGACTCTAGAAGACGATTCTTGTAAGTTCGTCTGAAATCCGGATCCGCCAGTCTTTCAGCTGCCATGCGATTTGTCCGCACCTTACGCG